CACACACACACACACACACACACACACACACACAGAGGGATCGATTCATATTGCTAAGACAACCATTGTCAACTACTTCTCATTGTATAAGCACAACAGCTTGGAGAGAAGAATATATAGATACAGGGCGAGCCTCCAACTCTGTTGTTAGTACTGATTAAGAGTTCAAACGCTGTTGCCTCATCCTTGTTCTCAGTTCATTTTTAATTCTCGCCATGTGGAAAAACAGGTGGAAGGTAATAAATTGTGGAGCTGCTAAATTGGTAACTTACTCACCCTACTTAGGTGGAGATTAGGGTGGGGCAGGTGAACAGGTGTCTGTCGCAGGGCTGCGGCTCTCTGATGTTCAGCTGTACTAACATTACTGTCCTCCTCGTCTGCGACGTTAGCTTCGTCCTCTCCAGGCTCTTTGCTAATGCTAGCAAGCCGAGTAGCTGACTTTAGAACAAAGTCAAGATAGATGGTTTGTTTGTCCGAATTTCTGTTTCTCTGAGTCCTTTTTCCCCCCGTCTTTCTCTTTGTTGTTCCACTGCGTCAACGTTTGTTTTCCATGACGTTTTAAGATTTCGCGACCAGCTTGATTAGCCACTAAATTCCCACGGTCACCACCTGACTTGACCTCTGACCTGACCTCTGACCTCACTCATCATCATCATCATGATACAGACAGCCACAGAGACGTAGCCAGCACACCGATCATAGTATTTCATGTGCAAATAGAGTAACTGCATTTATTGGTTCGTATTTCAACATACACACATGTAACAGTCGAAATACTGAATTGTGCATTTAAGACATGCTGTGTTGCCTGGATACAAGAGGAGACCGTCATCAGACTGCGCCTTTGTTTTGGTTAAGTCAGAGACAGTAGAGAAACCTTTGGTTAAGTTAGTTGAATGGCGCACCCCCACGCTCTCCAAACTGCTTGAATCAAACTTCACTGACCCAAACTGTTACATCACATTCAATTAATTTATGTGATTTGATGAAGAAAAATAAAATGAGGCCACAGTTGGTGGGAGTTTGGAGGCCCCCTAGAGGTGGGAGGCCCCCGGGCACCGGCCCAGTGGATAATCCGTATTTGCTTCCAGCCTTTTTGGCTTGTGTCTGGTTGAGGTGTGTCTCGTGTCAGATGTCTGAGTTGTTAGCAGTCTCACTGAAGAGGCATTTGCCCTCTAATCTTCTCTGATGGCTTCATTTCTCTTTCAAAGCCCAAAGAAGTAAAACCCCCAAATATTTCACCATAAAGCAAATAACCAGTCCCTATTCCAAAAAATTATGCAGATTTCTGTATCACATCTTTGTTTTTTTCTTCTTCTCTAACCCATTAACATCTCATGACCCCATAGGGTTGCTATGTGATCCATTGCCTTGGTTGGGAACCATTAAATTTAACAACCAAAGTGTATATACAATGGTATCAGTACAAACAATCTAATGAATACTTTTACTCTCAATATTAAGAGTACATTATTATATACATTAGAGCACATTTTGCTGATAATACTTCTACACTTTTACTAGAGCAGGATTTTATATTGTTGTAATAGTGCTTTTATCTAAGAAAAGTATCTTGATACTTTTTTATCAATGGCTACCATGAGGAATTTTCTCTTCTCCAACAGTAAGGAGCTTTTCTGCACCTTTTCTGTCAGTGGTCAGCAAAATGAGCAGAGTAAGGAGGGGCGTTCATTTCAGGGAATGGAGCTTCCACTGGATACCTTTCAGCCATAGTAACAACAGAGGAATTAAACTGCAGGGGCTATTTTCCAAATCTCCATAGTGACTGACAAAACCCTTGGAAAGTATCCAGAATGGGCACTTTGTAAAGACCTCTCTCCCTCTCTCTCTTTGTCTCACTCTTTTCTTTGTCTGTCTCTGTGCATGTGTGTGCGTGTGTGTGTCTGCAGGGAATGATTGGGTCAGGGACAGGGATGGGAAACACCCCTCACACTCCAGTTTGAGCATCCATTTGAGAGAATAATTGTATAACTCGCCAAATATATTGCATAAAAGTGTCCAAATGAATTAGCCCTATCTACATTAACACCTGCTGTCATTTGGTCATACTTATTTCAAGGATAATATCCCCTGGTCACACATATTTCAAGCCAGTCTGTCAGTGACCATCACATCACAAGTGTCACTTGCATATGTCTGACTGCATCAGGGAGCATCACCCAGACCGACTGACAGCTGCAGATGACACTCCGGCCTGCAGATGAGTGGACCGGATTGAGACAGACTCTTCAAGTGTGAAAATTTAAAAAATATTATTTATACCTACAACGACCTATTCTCATGTTATCTTAAGGCTTTTGTTTTACAAGTCAGAATAATTACAAAATAAATGGTCTTTTCCCATAAATTCACAGTTATACAAGGTGGTTTTAAAGAAACCCCCTATGAGTCAGGGTTTAGGAACTCTGCTGTACACTAGTTCCATGAATAAACAGTGGGCATTAAGCCCAAGGCTCAATGAGAATTCACATGTCTCACTTAGTTAATAATCTGATGCAAGTCAAATGTCATCACAGACCAGACACGCTTCAAGGCAATTCTTATAAATGGGACTATTTTCACCAGTTAATGTGTCTGCCCTGAATGTAACTGTAACTGTACTCTGTCCTGCTGTATTTTATTTATTTATTGTGTGTGTGTGTGTGTGTGTGTGTGTGTGTGTGTGTGTGTGTGTGTGTGTGTGTGTGTGTGTGTGTGTGTGTGTGTGCACGTGTGCGTGTGTATGCAAAATGAAAAACTGGCCTTCAATAATGAATCTATCATTCTATTAAAACAAAAATAAACATGCACACACTGATTTACTGATGTAATGATTGATCAATTGATGGATGGACTGGTTGACTGTGTTGAACAGTGATTTAAAACATTAAATCTTTGCCAAAATATGCTGTTCAAATGCATCTTGTTAAAATACAGCTGTGCATTGTTTTGTTTCTAATCGTGAAATTATTTGTAAAACCATATGCAATGCTTCTTCACGTGTGCATCTATGAAATTAAGCACAGATATACATAGACTTAAAAGCATAAGTTGAATTTTGACTGTGTATACAGCAGTGCACACACCCAGCATGGATATAAATTATCGACACAAAAAGAGTTAAACCTCAGAAACAGACTCAGAAGATTAGACATTTGTTTGCTCACTACTAACAGTCACATGTTAGTAGCCTAGTAGTGATCGTCAGCATGTGATTTTTTTTTTTCACAAAATTTTCTCTCATTGTTCTCTCAAGACAACTTGATAAACTTCTCTCAGGAGCTGACATGTGCAGATAGGTCATACGCATTGAATGTCTGCCTTGTTTGAATCAAATGGTCCTAGATTAAACCTGTAATAACTGTTTTTCTTTTGTTTCTTTTTTTTCCTGCTACTTGGGGACAAACAAGCTGAGAGCACAACAATGACTCATCATCACATTTTAAGTCGATATGGGGAACATGTTAGAAAATACTTGATTAATATACGGCCCACAGATACAGAGCAACATTAACATTAATTTGGAGACATTTTTCTGATCACCTGATGAAGTTAAGTCTAATGTTCACTCTTTTTTCTCTCTATTTTTGATCTGTTCCAGCTCCTGATGTAAACATTTGTTTCTTTAGTGGCCTCAGTTTGCGTCGCTCATGTATCAGCTTACACATGGAGTGACAGACGTTGCGTTAACCATCAGTTTCTCTAAAAGATAATTAACTGGTGACGTGTGAAAAAACCAGGAGGTCGTGCCGCTGTTTTAACCATTTTTTCAGGATCCCGTAAGACTCTTCTCACAATCTGGAAGAAAAAATATTAATATCATGCTGTACAATAAAAAAAACTCTTTCCAAAGTTGTGACTCCTATCCCGGTTGCTGGCAGGCTGCCATCTTTGTCTTGATTGAGAAACAGAGCTGCAACTATGGAAACTGGTCAAAAAGACCCAGAAGAACTTTTTAAGTCTTGTATTTGGAAGGTGTAAACAAATCAGATCTTCTGATTTTAGTGAGCGCTATATAGTATGTTGTTATTTTACAATTATTTAACAGTTCAAGAACTGTTAAATAATTGTGTTTATTACTGCTCAGGCTGTGAAAGCAGTTGAATGATGTTTTCCTCTATAGCTCTGAAGGGACCTCTGAAAGAATAACTGATAATGTTCTGGGTTAACTTACTTTGGACTTTTATAAGTGTATAAGTAAGCGTTTCAAACTGTGAATGTAGACATTCACTGAGCAGGGTAATGTGATCAGGGATGTGATCTAATGTGATCTAGGATATCATGCCCCCTGCTGCAATGATTTTTGCTTTTCATCTTCTAATCTGTCACATAACTTTATAAAGTGCAACACTAAATCACTGGGATACGTCATTTACTAAGTTTTAATATGGACACTATAAACAAGAGATATACAATTACAAAATAAAGTTTATTGAATATTGAAAATTTTCTTACAGCCAAAATACATTTTTCCAGGAGCTGCCTTTTAATTAATTTATGGATTTTGTGCTCCCAGGTTAATCAGTTGTCAGTTCTTTTTAAGTTGTCAAATGACATAATCCTGCAGAGCAATATAAATATTATAATATCCACAGCTGTCTTAGAAAATAACTTAATGTGCATTGCACATTCAAGAACCCAAACAATAAAATATGACAAGAAATAAAATCTCTTTGATGTAGTACCTTCAACAAAAAATGAATGATGTAGTTGTTGAAGTACTTGTATTACTAAATAACAGTTATGTGCAGTAAGCACTGAATCAGTAAAAAAATGTTCTTACTTGCTGATATTTTTACATTCAATTTTTGATTGTGGATCCCATCATTCACCACCTTAAAGACAAAATTAAAGTCTGTAAACGTACAGTTTTGACTATACTGAAACTTGAATAAGAGGCACAACTCTCCTCAGTCACCACATGTCTGTAGGTCTGGTGGGCCTGCAAAAAGGTTTATGTGTAAGATTATTTGATAATTTTAGAAACATACAACAAAATAATCATAACCAAGAATAATAGCACATGCTGGACATGTTTGTGTAAATATTTCTATGAAATATAATGTCCAGCTTTCATAATATTGGACAGTATTGTCCACACCTCACACGTATTGTATCCAGGGAGTCTTGTGCTTGCAGTGCTCTACCTCCTCCACTAGGTGTCCTTCTTGCCTGTGTCACAGCTGACGACTCCCCCTCAGGATGCACTTTCCTGTCTGGTATTTTAAACTCAACTGATGCAAATGATGACAGACTACCATTTTTGTTTGACCACGTTTTGGAGGTATCAATAGTAGGTGACACCCTGAAGCCTCTCCCTTTGACACTGCTTGTATCCTTTTTCCCACTTTGGATACTGGAATTGTCAAAAAACGGGTCAGAATCACTCCCATGTGGCATGTTGTAATAGGTGCACTTCGGAGTTTGAGGCTTCGCCATCTCCTCAAGCTCTGATGAAGAGATGGCTACAAGAGGGTTGTGCTGGGTTTTATAATGAGGTAGGGAATCCTCGCTATCGTTCTCCTGACCTGTATCAATGGAAGTGCTATCCAAATTACCGTACATCCCCAGGGAGACTGGAGGAGATTTTCTTATGAGGTGGTTCTCCTTGAGTAGCCACCTTCCTCGATCAATCAAAACCCCATCAGTTGTGTCCTTTCCTGAGGTGAAAGAAACACACTGCGCGGCCTCTGGTGCAGCTTCAGCATCTGCCTTTAATGAGCTTGTAGCACTGAAATAAGACAGATCCTCCCTTGAGGCTTTGGTGCCCGAATCAAAGGAAGAGAAACTGTCTGGACTTTTTAATCTGGAACTTTGCAAGACTTCTGAATTACTTGCAACAGACACTTTGGATATAGCTGTCTCCACATTTGTTCTCCCATTAGGGATATGAGTCTTCCGTCTGTAGACTGGAAAAGGTCTCTCTGAAGCCTCTTCTCCACTCTCTGTGACAACATCTACAGACTCCTGAGTTTTATATCCTCCGCTTTCCGAAGTTTCTGGTCTGTAATCAGTTAAATCAGAGGTGCTCGGGCTCGGGAGACGTTTTAAGCCATATGAACTATCCTCTCTAGTTTTTGGAATAACAGTTTGGTTAGTTTGTACGACTCGAGCATTATCTGGCTCTATCCTAATGTTCCCCCGAGTGTCATATGTGAATGTAAGTGAAGAGGACTGCAGGGCTGAGTTAACAAAGTCAAGTAATTGCTGTGATATTTCCACTGGATGTGGTTGGCTGTTGCTTCTTTCCTCATGACGCTCCCCTGCCATGTCTGTTTCAGGTTCATCAGCAGTGTCCGTTCCATTGCCTTTATCAAACTCACACTGCCCCTCAGAGGAATATTTGGTTGGTGATTCAGTGTTGAGTTCTGCATTTGCTTCGTCATGACTACTGCAATGCTGCTGCAAATAGGAGGCCTCCTCTAGCAGGTTTTTACAATTCTTATCATCAGCAGAACTGTCTACATCTTCTTCTATCTCATTGTTTGAATCTTGTTCTTCCATCTGGTCTAATTCTTCATTCAGTTCATTTTCTTCATTATTATCTTCCCTCTCCTCTTCTTCTAATGTGTGCCCTGCTTTCATATTTTCTTCAGTCTCCAACTCTTCTGCTTCTTCCTCTTCAACAGATTTTTCCTCCTGACTGTCTTCTACGTTCTCAAGCTCTTTTCTGCTCCCTTCATCACCTTCTTCTTCCTCTTCTGTGTCCTTGTCAGTTTCTTCTTCCTCTTCCTCCTCCTCCTCCTCCTTATCTGTGAGCACCCTGATTCTTTCTTCTGTATCTATAACCTCAGCATCACCATCCTCCTCTTCCTCCTCATCGTTTTCCTCACTAACCACCTCAGTTATGTCCTCTTTCTCATTCCTTTCCTCAATAACCACATCCATTTCTTCTTCTTCCTCCTCCTCCACATCTAAATCTTCCCTTATATTTTCTGGCTCCTCTTCCTCATCTGTCTCCTCAATCATTTCCCTTGCGTCTTCTTCTACATCATTCTCAGTAACCACATCTACTTCCTCTTCCTCTTCCTCCTCCATTTGATCAATGATGTTTTCTTCCTCCTCTTCCTCCTCCTCAATAACATCCTCCTGTGCTTCCTCTTCTGTCTCCTCAATAACATCCTCCACTTCCTCCTCTACATCATTCTCAATAACCACATCCATTTCCTCTTCTTCTTTCTCCTCCATCTCACCATTGAAGGCTTCTACCTTATTTTCTTCCCCCTCTTTCTCCTCTGTCTCCTCAACAGCCTCCTCCACTTCTTCCTTTACATCATTCTCAGAAACCACATCAACTTCATCCTTTTCTTTCTCCTCCACCTCATCAATGTTTTTTACCTCCTCTTCCTCATCTGTATCCTCAATAATGTCCTCCACCTCGTCCTCTCCATCATTCTCATTAATCAATTCCACTTCCTCTTCTTTCTCCTCTACCTTATCAATTATGTTTTCTTCCTCCTTTTCCTCCTCTGTCTCCTCAATAACCTCCACTTCCTCCTCTACATCGTTCTCAATAACCACATCCACTTCCTCTTCTTCTCTCTCCTCCATCTCATCTTTGAAGTCTTCTACCTCCTCTTCCTCCTCTGTCTCCTCAATAACCTCCTCCACTTCCTCCTCTACATCGTTCTCTATAACTTCATCCACTTCCTCTTCTTCTCTCTCCTCCATCTCATCTTTGAAGTCTTCTACCTCTTCTTCCTCCTCTGTCTCCTCAATAACTTCCTCCACTTCCTCCTCTACATCGTTCTCTATAACCACATCCACGTCCTCTTCTTCTCTCTCCTCCATCTCATCTTTGAAGTCTTGTACCTCCTCTTCCTCCTCTGTCTCCTCAACATCCTCCTCCACTTCCTCCTCTACATCGTTCTCAGTATCCACATCCACTTCTTCTTCTTCTTTCTCCTCCACCTCATCAACAATGTTTTCTACCTCCTCCGTATCCTCATTATCTTCCTCCACTTCCTCCTCCACATCATTCTCATTAACCACATCTACTTCTTTCTCCTCTGCGTCATCAATGATTTCTCCCTCCTCTCCCTCTTCAATAGTTTCCTCAACTTCTTCCTCTACATCATTCTCAGTAACCATATCCACTTCCTCTTCCTCCTCTGCCTCATCAAGGCTTTCTACCTCCTCTCCCTCCTTTCCCTCTTCAATAAACTCATCTACTTCTTCCCCTACATTGCTCTCAGTAACCACTTCTTCCTTCTCCCACTCCTCTTCTTCCTCCTGCTCTTCGATAATATTTTCATCTGTCTCCTCAACAACCTCTTCTGCTTCTTCTTCCCCCTTTTCTTCCTCGCCTGCCGCTTCTTCTTCTTCAACCTCATCCTTCCCCTCCTCTTCCTCCAATGTCTCCTGAACAATCTCTCTCTCATCTGTCTCTTCAACATTGTCGTCCTCTCTTGCTTCTTGATGTTCTTCATTCATTAATCCCTCCTCTGTCTCCTTAACCACTTCTTTCTCTCCTTCTAATTTATCCTTCTCATCTGTTGTCATCTCTTCCTCTGTCCCTTCCTCTACTTTCTCAACAGATTCCCCGCCACTTCCTGTCTCTGCTTCCCATTCTTCCTGCCCCTCATCATCTTCCTTCGCTGCCTCCTCTTCTTTTTCTTCCTCCTTTTCCTCTTCCATATTTTCAAACTCTTCACCATCGTTGTTTATCTCTTTTGTTTCTCCATCCTCTCTGTCCTTCTCCCCCTCCCTATCTTCTTCAATCTCCTCTACCTGGTCTTCATCTTCGTTTTCTTCTGTCTCATTTTCTTTGACCTCCAGGGCCTCATCTATTTCTGAACCTTTCACATCAACGCCTGTTTCCTGAACTTCATCAGCCTCTTGCTCTGACTCTCCCATCATCTTTACCTGTTCAGAATGCATGGATTGCATTTTATTTAAATCACCTGTATCTCCATCATCATTATCCTTGTTTTTTCCAGTAATGTCCTCAACTACGCATGTAGCGTCAGGATCTGTTGATTGTTTTGTTTCATCATTGCATTCGTCAACAAATTTTTCCACATCTTCCTCTGATTCGGACTGGTTTCTGTCAGTTTCTATAAAAGTGCTCTCCTCCACAGGATAAAAACTTCTAGTTTGTTGGATTGTTGAAGAAATCTCGGCTCTGAGGTCTTGCGGCATGTTCAGCTCCTCCAGTAGCTCATCAATACCCAGATGCTGATCCTCAAATACGTCACCTCCATCGGAGAGAACATCCAGGGCAAACTCAGTTTCTGATACTTTGGGAGAAAGTGGTTCACTTTCAAGCCTCTCCCTCAAAATCTGGAAATCCTTCCAACGCTCTCTAAACTGAGAGGATGCTCTGCTTTGCAGATCTGTCAGACTTGCTCTCTGCTCTTCCTCGTCATCAATGGCAGAAATTTTCTGCAGGGATTCCATCATTAGCATGGCTTCGGAGGGGCTTCTTGACTGGTTACTGTCTCCCAGCGCAGAGCCCGTTAGGCTATCTCTCAGAGTCATCACTGACAAGAATGACAGAAATGCTTTGCACGGCGTGCCAAACACTGAAGCTACTTGTGTTGAGAAATCAGGAAGGCTGGTAGACTTCTCGAGATTGGATGGTGCGTTGGTGTCGGACGGCCTTCTGATGCACTGAATTGATGAACAAAGTTGCCGTAGAACAGGTTTTAACTTTGCTGTGGGACTTAAGATGTTGGACGAAGTTGATTCACTCTCATTTGGCCCGATGGCCTCTGCAGATTTATGTGCCCTCAATGTGTTCTCCTCATGTACAGAATCCACTCTGACACTTGGCATTGAAACGCATAAACCTCTTGTTTTCTGTTCATTGTACGGCACAGTTGTTTCTGGCCCTTCATGGTAAAGAGGAACTGATAAACAAGAAGTAGATTTCTTGATAGCATCACCAGGCAATGGATAATATTCATTTAAATTATTCTGACATTCACTCATTTCATCTGTTTCAGAATCACCACCTATTTTAAACACAACCTTTGACTGTGGTTCTGATTCATCTGGGATCGACTCCGTGTATGGCACCTGGTCTTGGCTGACTTTCTCCAACCAGTTCTCGACATATTGGTGGATGTCAGAGGGCGTAGGATTCAGGGAAGGCATTGAAACACTCTCACTTAACTCTAAAGAGGTTTTAGGTGGTGGTGTTTTGTTTTCAGTGATGGATGAAGGTTTGCTCACTGTCTTTCTGCCTGGCAGAAGTGATTTTTTCGGTTGTAAAATGTCTGACATGTTCTTTTTTAATTGAGGCCTTCCAGTTGGGGTATTTACATTATGGCCATTGTCTTTAGCAGTCACTTTATTCGTGGTCTGTCTCTTAGGTGGGGTCCTTTTAACATTTTCAGTGCTACCTAATAAGGCTGAGTCCTTCTTGGGTGTCTTCTCATCTTTAATTGATTTCTTGGACAGAGACTTTTCTGCTTTCTTTTCCTTTCTTTTACCTTTTTGACCACTTTTAGCACTTTCTAATGAACTCGAACTCTTTTTTCCCATACTGGCATTGCTGAGCTTGTCAGTAGATGAATGTTTACTCTTTTTTGGGGGGCTTATAATGCATTCATTTAGCTTTTTATCTGAGCTGCTTGTTGAAGTTGAACTCTTGCTATTCCTATCAGGTTTAATCACCTCTTTATTCTTCTCATGTGTTGGAGATATTGGCTCTGATGACAGTGATAACATCTCCTCTCTCTGTCTTTGTAGTGGGTCAGCAGTAGAAGGAGGACAGCTAAAATCTATATCACAATCATTGCTGGATGAGCGTAGCCCAGACTCAGTGGACGGTTTGCTATCTGCCGCTGGAGTGGAACCCTGCAAAGGTACACCATCTGTGCTATATTCGTCATTTGCTAAATAGTTGTCGAAGCAGCCTTGACTCTCATAGATGTGCATAACAGTTTCTGTAATTTCAATCCCATTATTCTGTAACTGAAGGACCTCAGCTACTCCTGACGACCTAATGGAGGAGTGGGAGCCTTTGTTGCTCGCTTCTGCAGACGCCGTTTTCCGAGGCTTTGGGATTGGCCGGTTGCTGCTGCTGCTGTGTCTGACAACGCAGTATCCCTCAGTTGTCTCACCATCAGCCGTCCTCTCCATGTACGAATAATGTCCCAAGGTGCTCTCTTGAACCCCTGACTCTGTCACCATCTTCACACTCTCAACAGACGCCTTCTTCTTAACGTGTCGAGGACCTGGCGTAGGGGTGCGTTTGAAACTTGTTTTTGCTTTTCCCAAAGCTGTTGAAGTGTAGCCCTCACACACTTGCTCGTCATTAAAGCCGACTCCCTTTCCGGCCCCAGTTGGGTGGTTTTCCTCTTTAGTTTCATCCTCACTGATACTAGAGGAGTCTTTGGCAATGGCATTGTTTGAGTCAGGTGAGCTGTTTCCCGACTCAGAAATGGAGGCACAAACTGTCCTCTTGCTAAGGCTGGAGCGGCTGAGTGTGGTAGTCCAGTGGAGCATCTCCTCCTCTTTAATGGTCAGACGCACTTTCATTTCTACAGTCATGCTGCCATCCTGGTTTACACGGAAAGACTTTTCAATGTCATCATCCTGAGGTACAATGCTCGTTTGCTGCTCATCATCTGCCCTCCCACTTCCACATGTCTCCAAGGATGCGTGACTCTGGTTGACTTCTGTTTCAAATGATCCATTGTGATGATGCAGTTGGCTGTTCATGCCATTTCGAGACTTGTTTATCTGGTTGACAATATATCGCTCTGACGATGAGGAGAAGTTTCTTGAGCCTCTTCCACTTGAGAAAGATTTATTGTTCTCTTTGGTTGGAGGGGGATACAGGTGTTATGTGAAAGAAAGGGGAAACAGAGAGAGAGAGAAAAAACATGTTTTAGGAAATAAAAGGCATCATGTAGTATTTACATTAGGACTATTTAAAGGAATAGTTGACATTTTAGTAAATAAAATCTATGCTAATCGTTTCCTGGCTCTAATATCATACTTAGTGTACAGACATGAAGGTGCTTTTGTTTTTTCTTGTCTGACTCTTGGCAAGAAAGCAAAATGTGGAACTATTTCAGTGACTAGGTACCACTAGAAATACATGAGTAAATCTATTTTTACAATTTGGATGAACTGACTTTGGATGAAGTGACAAGATGATAGTTTCTTGTAACTGTTATGTCACACTGATCACCTGCTACTTAAAGTTGCTGTACTCCAAATTGGACTCTGTGTTTTAATGTATAAGTCTGTAGACAAACTACATGTGTCTAAACAGTACAATACCTGTAAACTGTAAATCTGAAAACCTGTAAACCTTGACCTTGAAACCTGAAAACCTGTAAACTTGACAAACCTTTAAACTTGACAGACAGTACCTGTCTGTCAAGTTTTGTCAAGGAAAACTTGACAGACAAGTTTTCATTGTTTTGACAGTTCCTAGCATTTGCCATCACCCACAATGCTGTCCTAAGAATACCTAGACCTTGGATCTTTTCATGAATACTAGCATATGACATACTTTACAGTTATACGCATGAAACTTACGAGCTCTGGGCAGCAGCATGGATGGCTCCATAGTTTCCATGTACATGGCCTGTGCCATCTGGCCCGTTCTGTGAAAGCTGTAGTTTCCTAATCTGAATGGCTCATTGCCAGCTGCCACAACAACTCCAGAACACAAGATAAGTGCAGCAAGACCGTCAACCTGAAAGGAGAGGAGAAACACATTTGACATGTTGGTCAGAGTCTAAGAAAAAATAGCTGAAACACTTTGAAACACTACAATAGTTACTTTGAATTGGCCACATACTTTATATGCAACCACTCTAAGACAAGTACTGCACTCCTGGGCTCTTCCTTTAGAAATGAAAACAACATTCACTTTGCAATATCACTTGCTATTGATGCAATTTCTTTATCCCACATGTTCTCATAGTACAGTCCAGACATCACAGATCACAGGCAGCGCTAAAAGTGTATGATGCATTTAAAGGTTCTCTGGACTCATGACCTTTAACCGGAAGCTTGTTGTTGTTGCTACAGGACACGTGGGATTACACAGTGATAACTCACCAGGGGGTAGAGATCTTGATAACACCTCTTAGCTCTTCTTGGAACACTTATAACATGGGGAAAGTCCTGATTCTTAATCCCTGAGATATTTATCAGTTAAAGCGAAAATACAGCCCTTATTTATTTAAGTCGTGTAGTAGTTTTGCGCATGTACATGTAGTATCTCTGCTAAACAAAGGTTCTAAAATCTAAAAACTAAATTGACAAATCATCATGGTTTTAACAGTCCTCTGCAGCCATCAAATGCTTCTTGATGCCATCAAAATTTTGATAGTCTCTTATAATCTTTGAAAGCTGATGAGTTAAAATTTGGTATCTAACTGCCAACTGCTGAGCCAACAGAAATCCTATAAATCCTTAGAATAATGGAGAATTTGAGCATCTGGATTTGCATGGCAACAAGGAAAAATCCATCTGCTGACTAAGACCATGTGATACAGTTGAAAGTTCTGGAACAAGAGAGTTAGTGGACCTTGAGTTGAAATTGTTTTGCCAAACACAGTTTCCAAGATCAAAAATTAATTGTCAAACTCAAAAAAGTGATTGAGGGGATGGTGTACATGCTACACACTACACAAGTGTCTGTCTTCCTACAGTGTTTTTCAGCCTAACATTTAAAGAGTGTATCGTATTTGTGTGACACAGACATACCTTTGCTTAATCTAACCTTCAGTAGCCTGAGATACAAAGTATAGACACCAACTGTGGAGCTGTGGATTCACACACCATAGTACTAATTGAAATGAAAAATACATTTTCCAAGTTCTAATCCTGTGTTAAAGAATATTTTTTTAATATATTTATGACTTACTGTGAACATGTGATGTGGTTATATAAATTTATCCAGTTCCATCATTTAAAACTCAACTTGGGCATTAGCTAGTGGGTAGCTAGCGAAACAAAATACTAGAAGGTCTGCAAAGCTGTTCACATTTCCAAAGAATGTGGCTGAGCTTCACCCACAAGCATGGGAGGTGTGTGTCCTCTACAACTCCCTATTGAGCTTTTTCACACAGCAACTTTGAATGATCAAATCAAATCTGAAGGATTTGATTTAGTAATAATGACTAATACCCCACCCACATAGTCTTTCAATTTCACAGTGAAATGCTGATTCGGTTTGATAGCACTTTGATGTCTGTCCATCAAACAAGAAGCTAGTGCCAGCAGCCAATTAGCTTAGCTTAGCATAAAGACTGGAAACAAAGGAAACAGCTAACCTGGTTAAGCCTGAAGGTAACAAATTCAGCCTACCAGCACTGGTAAAGCTGACTAATTAACATGTTATATCTTGTCTGTTTAATACATATAAAACCACAAAGTAAAAACAACAATTTGTGGTTTTGAGGCAGGTGGTGTGCAGGAGTATATCTTGGCCAGGTGCAGTGACTTTCTGGAATTTACCCTTTTCCCGGCTTTATGCTAAGCTAAGTAAACTGGCTGCTGTATAGATAAGATATTAATCTTTTCACCTAACGCTCAGCAAGAACAAATAACAAGCATATTTCCCAAAATGTTGAGTTATTCCTATCAGGACATATTTGCAAATGTAAAGACTTTACTTTTAACTAGATAAAGTTAATGTTTCGCCCATTCCACAAAGGCAGCTACTGCCTATAATATTCTCAGGTGTAACTTTAACATTGATCCACCGTCATTTCCATTTTCAGTTTACCAAACACTTACTCTTCTGCCATCTGTAGAGTAGAGTTTCAGCACTGGGAACTGTAGGATCTGGGAAAGGTAATCCAGCAAAGAGTCAAATGTTGGTGCTGTTCTTTTCTGCAACACAATTGTGCGTTTAACAGTGGGATCCCTGTTCTTTATGACCACAAGTCTCTTTGGTGTCCGTACTGCTGCCCTCTCTGTGACCTTTGCTGGCCTGACCTCATTCCTTCTGCCAAACTGACCAAACTGGAACCCCTGACGCTTTCGTCGCCCTGCACTGAGGGGTCTGGTGGTATTCCATGGTACCTGCCGCCGGTTCACTTCAACCAGGTTTAAAGGCTTCACCCGTTTTCGATCAGAACACACATAAGATCCCCCATCCTGTAAGTCATCTAGACCCTTTACAAGGTGGGTCCCGCGAGGTGTGGTGATTGTCCTCACTCCAAATGGCAGAGGCACTTTCTTGGACAAAGCATCCAGTAGAGCATCAAATGTCTTGAAGGTGCGGGCATTGATGACCATGCGATGCCCGCTGAACTTATAGTCACCGCTTTTGTAGAAACATACTCGCTTAGAAGCTGAGGGATCAGAGATGGACTGTAGGGGTCGGGATGGTAATGTCTGCCCACTGCCAGAGGACAGTCGCTGGGCAAATGGGTCCTGGATGGATGTGCTGCTCATTTTGTTTAGAGGTAGCTAGAAAGACAGTACAGAGAGGGAGAGAGTAGTTAGTTCAGATATAAGTTTTGCTTCCAAAGTTATACTTCTCCACTGTTCATCCGTATATTTTGAGTGTTCGAAACAGTTAATTTCACCAAAATGTGGCTACACGGCTTCTATGTACTCTCCTCCTTGAAAGTCTGAGGCTCTGCTGGAAGTAGTCTGTTATGAAAACTTCACCATTATAATCATTCATCATTAGAATCCATTGTAAATGATTTATTTCAAGGTGACCACAGCCCCTAACCTCCGTCACTGAAGAAACTACAAACTGCCACCTTTCAAACCTGCAGGTGTTGAGTGTTAGACACTCAAAGGACAATACTTGGGTATTTTTAATTAGGATTTAAACATTATGTTGTGGCTTTGACCTCGAAAATGAGTTGGCTTTTCTTCTGCACAACCAAGAGAAAAGCATTTTCCCCCTGTTTTGATGTATTTCCAGCTATCCCTTACAGTACAGTCTTTCAAAATTTTAACGCTGCTTATAAACAGTGGAACAAATTAAATCCACTACTAAAACATGTCAGATTTTAGTACCCTCTTGAACAGGCATGTAATTAAAACAACTGTTAACATTTAGTGACAAAATATCCAGTAGTGAAGACTGTACACTCTTTCTCTTTTGGTCTTTAAGAATTTACCTGTATATTTTATTATATAAAATCTTTTTTAATTCATGAACTACACATTCTTGAATAAGTTTTAATTGAATCATAATAATTGATCATTATCCTACAATTCTGCACAAAAAGCACAAAAAGCCATTATGAACAAATGACACAATTACACTGATATACTAGTCCTTGTAAAAAATACTATAGAACATGGAATTTGACACTGAATCAAATGAAATGGCCCTAAACTATTATTTATACTGGGAGTTGTGTCTCTAATTTGTCTTGTTTTGAAAACGTTGACTAAAAGTTTCTGCATGATTTTTCCATCATCATCTCAAAATGGAGAACAGGAACACTCAAAACAACACTTTTGACAGTGATCAACATATATTTACTGTGACATGGGAATTAAGTTGACTAGAATCAGACTGCTGCATAACATTAAGTGAAAATTACATGATATATTGGAAAGTATAATGCAAATTAATTGTAGATGTATGTAAGTAATATGGGTGTAGCTGAGATTATAGCGGCATAATATCAATAGGCTTAAATACAGCATGGTAGAAAGGAGCATAATTTCAACATTAAGAAATAACACCTTGTGTCCCTGTATTGTTTAGCCTGTTAAAGTGGTTTCAGAATGTGCATATTACAGAGAGACCATAGACAGAACCTAGTCAGTACCATCACACATTCTGCTTCATTATAGTGAAAATAATTACCCACTTACGTTCCTGTTAACAACAAGTCTAAGTAGATGTAGCCACAGTCTTAGACAAAGGCCATACACACCTGGAATATATTTAACTAGTGTAGTTAACTGTAACTAACTACACCATGTAGGTAATGAAGAAAATAACTGACTGGCAAACAAACATGTCAACCTAGACGTAATGAAAAAGGCTTACCTTATTTCTCACATTGCACCTTAATTATAATGGCTAAAACGACAGAAAGTGTGCATCCGTTATTCCTCTGAGCACTGGTCAAAGCCTCTCAGCAGCGGCCGAGGGCTATTTTGGGACATGTAACATCATGGCCAATTTGCTTAATCTTTGCTCACACTTAATCACCATATAAACATAAGGTAACAAACAGAGGAAACACGGAGGAACTGCACCACATCAGACTGCAAATTTGTACTTTTTTCAATCTGAAATTTAAAAAAAATGGTGGCATGATGTTTTCCTAAAGGAGTGGGACTATAATTTATTTGTTCAACTGATATATTTGTATCATGGCTTATGTACATTGTTGGAAATCTCACTAAAAATAAACAAGTGTTCTGCCTCATCTGCCATACATTTCCCATTAGTGAATCATTACTGCTCCAAACAGATACCACAGGTGGCTTGGACTATTTCTAATTTGCAAGCAGCCTGCATAATCAGATTTGAGAAGTCTTGTCCTAATAGGGATTAGGTTAAAGATTTTGCGCACTTGCTGACAGCATGAAGCAGAATAAGGTCTTTAGAGAGCACTTTTACCTCACAGCAGGTATTTGAAATCCACCATCAGATTTCAGGACAGACAATGTATCAGTATTTTTTGCTTGTTGAATTTCTTGATGCGTGTAATAAATAATAAATATAATCATAATTTTGGATTCTCTGCAGCGTTGCATCCAAACTTGGACAGCTAACACAGAATATCCAAAAGTTTGAACAGTGAAGTAGACTAAGACTGGAATATCAGTCTTCTAACAGTGGCTAATGATCCAATTGCTTGAGGGGATGAGAGCTCTGTCACTACACTGCAGTTACCAGACAGTGTGCCAATTACCAACTGCCCCTGACTGCGTAAAAGCTGCTAATACCTCCTACTAGCACGCGCAGTGTCCTGCAAGATGGACACTGGCTGGTGGGGGATTGAAGGAAGGGCCTATGTAGGTCACACAGAGTCCAACTGAGACAATGTTCCATTACATTATTTTTTCAGTGTGTGTGAACATAAAATAAATGCTTTTTTAATAATTCTGCCACCAGTTTTGATAAACTGAAAAATAATATGAATTTTAGTGGAGTACTTGACCTGTATTATTACCTGTACATATTTAATGTAGTGCAATTAACAACATAGTACATGTTTTTCTCTGTTAAATAATTCAAGTCATTTTCAGTGATTGCCTAACCTTCAGTCACTAGGTGGTAATGTCACATGCTGATCTGTTTGGATTAGCAAGATCCAAATTAGCGAGTCAATCAGTGCCACAGAAATGCAGTATGAGATCAACAGTGTACCATCATCATGCCCTAGATCCTGTTACACAAAGGTCACAGGTTTGATCTGCACCACAGCCATGCCTTCATCAAAAGCCAGAGTTAAAGTTATTCATAGTATTGACAATGAATAATACATTAATAGCAAAACTAATCTTTTTACACATGTATGTCATCAGTCCCAAACCAGTACTGACACTATGAATGTTCCAGCAAAAACAAGGAGGAATGTTGGAAAAAATATATTGATTTTGAGTGACATTGATGTTTTTTTAGTTTCTGTATTCTGTTAATTATTGCTGAATGCTAATTGTGATCCCGCAGATGTATCTTGTCACTCTTTTAGGGGGTCTAGACCACCAGGTTGGGAATCACTGAGGTGAGTGTTCTAGAGCAGTTGTGGTTGTGACAATCATCATCTCATTCTCATTATTTTTCAGACCATCACAATTTCCCAGGGCCTAAATTTTGTCTTCAGATTGCTAGTTTTGTTCGAAGAACAGTCCAAAAAAAACCAAAAAGAAATTAAGTTTACTATCATAATAAATATATAAATATTTACATTTGAGAGGCTGAAATCAGTGACTTTTTTTCATTTTTGCTTAAAAAAATTGACTAAAATAATTAATTGGTTATCAGAATAGTTGCTGATTAATTTGTCAATCAATTAGGCTAATGGATTAATTGACTTATCATTTCAGCTCTACAGGTGAGAGTGGGTGGTAAAGAATACCATACCATTAAAACAAACGATCACATCGGAGAAATTGGGATCAGTGAATATTTTTGTATATTAGCCTTAAAATGAGTTAAACGATTAATCGATTATGAAAATTCTTTCCATTTAATTTTCAGTCGGTGGATTTACATATCAATCAACAAATCGTTTAAGTTCTGGACCATAACCACTAAAACTTTCTGAGGTTAACTGTTAATGGGGAAACACGAGGAGACGCAAATGTAGCCTATTTATTTGTGAAGTTGAATGGTTTTAAAGGTTTTCCAGAAACATTGTCCATTGTTGACCCCGAGCAGAGATGCAGGTGGCACTTTGGCGCTATCTAACGATAGGTAGCGATATTGCCAAAATGCAGGCTTTGTTTCGGTAACAGGAGGACAGATTTTTTTCAGAAGTTGAAAAAACATGTATATCCAGATGTTTATTAAAAAAAATGCATCCCCATTTCTGATTACAGCGCTGAGTGACGAGCTCTTACTGCTCTGACAGCTTCCAGAGGAATCTTGGGTTTCGTCTCGATTAACTCCCCCTGAATCCATCGTGCATCAACTGTCCAGGTCTGCTACACAGCGGCGGGTCTCTGTGCGGTCCCGGTCCGCCTAGTAGACGCCTCCGCCGCTTTCTCTTCAGTGGCGTGGTCTTTGTCGCCAACTGTCTTTCCCCACTCACTCCAAGTTTTTGGATCCCGTTAGATCAGTCAACATGGGCAAAAAGGAGGAAGAGGACATTATCAGAATTGCGAAGAAGATGGATAAAATGGCGCAGAAAAAAAACGGGGTGAGACGTCTGAGAAGAATGTTTACCTGCTCAGCCGTTGTGAGGCTAACGTCGGCGCTAATGGGCTGTGATGCGGTTAGCTGCCGACTGTATAGCTAATTGACCCTCTAGCCAGTTCTGCAACAGTGCGTCATTTCACTATAGTATTTTTTCCGACTGTTAACTACACGCTTACCTGAAACAATAAGCGCCACCGGCAGCATACCTGTAGTTATGAGTAAGGCTAACGGCAAACAGCTAGCTTTCAAGTCTGTTTATGTCAACGGCAGCTCTGTGTTGCTAGCAGTTAGCCACATAGCAGCCGACTAGTGCTTGCTAGCTTTGTTGGATGCGGTCATTTTAAGATAACTGAAATTAAGTTACTAGATATCACATTTTAAAATAAAATTATTACATTTTCTTTTTGGATTAAGTTGTGTTTGGGATTTTGCAAGCGGCTAATCAGCTAGTGCGTTAACGAGGTTGGACGTTAACTGTACCACAGGTAAACTAATGTAAAAACATTAATGGCGCTGTAGCTAACGATTATATTCGTTATAATTTCATCTGCCGATTATTTTCTCGATTAGTCGTTTGTTTTCATAAATGGCAGAACATAATGAAAAGTGGCGTCTACAGTTCATAAAGCATAAAGTGACATATTTAAATGTCTTAGCATGTCTGACAGGCAGGTCAAAACCGAAAGTTACTGAGTTTATATATGTATGTGTATATATATATATATATATAATATATATATATATGCAAATAATCATATTTGAGAATTTAAAACAATTAAATTTTTTGTTTAAGTGATTAATCAGTTATCAAAATTGCTGCAGATACAATATCTGTTAGTTGAATAAACAGACTAACCGACTGGTAATTAGTTTACCTCTACATGTCAATGTTTGCCATGT